GGGGAGTTGTTTCTTGTGAGGTGGCAAGACTCAAGTCAATCTGTCAGCTCTGTAACATCATCGTCCATTGCAGCCGCTGAGTGGGAATCAGACTGGCCTCCTGAGTCATGCTGTACGCATGCCTAACCAGAGAAAGGCCGTTATTGTTGCACATGTTATCAGTACAAATAGACAATAAAAAGGAGGAAATGGCATGGCCCTCGGGGACACCTGTGTTTAAAACTGTTCATTAGATAGACAGCCATTCCATTTAGCATGCCAAAGCTGGTTGCACAGGAGCTCCTTGATCCATAAAATCAAATGTAATGGGTTCCCAATTCACAGGGGAGTTTGACTGGAGTTTGGTGCTGTTACATTATGATGAAAAGTGTATTAAAAAGCTGCCACTGGTGAGGTTCTCAGATAAAATAAAGAGGAAAGTTATAATGTGCCTTTTAAAATTTTCTCATAACTTACAACATTTCACTTTCCTATTGTACACAAACAAGAGCAGTTTTCTACTTTTGCAGTTCTAGTTTAGCACAAAATTCCTCTATTAAAAAAAACATTACGATACTCAGTCAAAGAGACTGATAAAAGGCTTGTTTTTCATGAACTTTTCATCATCCTGCCCCCGATTGCTAGCTAAGGGGATTCTGATCCATTGAACGTTTGATGAAAATCAAAGTTGGTTGTTGTTCTCATATTTAAGTACAAATTATTTCCCTCCTGTGGTACACTTTGTATTATAGTATTGGCAGCACTTCAATCTTTAATTTGTACTTAATATTTTCTTTCAGTTATGTCTCTTTTTTCATTTTTTTCCTACTAATTGATTTTTAACATAGATGGTATATTTAGAGTTTTGAAATGCACAAAAAAGAGAGAATAAAATTCAACATAAAAGAGTTTTTCGAACAGCCATTTTTGTCCTTTACCTGCTTGTCCCTTGAGGTGTCAACACCACACGGCTGTTCATTAATCCAACCCGTCTCAAGTCTTTAGGGGTGTGCTGTCCACTGATGTGATTGTAAGATGGTGATAGAAACTGCACCAGTCTTGTTGGCTGCGTAAAAAGAGACCCGTCTAGTTCCCACTGAAATACTGAGCCACTGGTTGTGACCAGAGCGTGTGACGCAGTTACCTGGTTACTATGGTTTATGGTTTACTCGTACTGATGACACAGAGCTTCTACTTTATTGGAGATTGTTGTTGTGGAGCTATAAATAAAAGGTAATTAGATCCATGTCCAGCTATTTCCCATGGTATTAAGACTGGTTAATAATGCCACATTTATGAGCTATTGACCATATTCCATTTTCCTCTGATGCCATCCTCTGCATTATTGCATAGAAAATGTGCTGCTGTGTTGTAAAAAAAAATATTGTGAAAATGTTCCTGGAACTAGTGATTAAATATGAGTAACACTTAGACTAAGTAAGTACTCTAAAAGAGTAGAAGGAAAAAATAAATGGGAAAAAAGGCGAAATTGAACACAATTTAATGCACCAAGTTAAAAATTGTCCAGAAAAAAAAGCCCTACATTATTTTCATTTGAGAATTTTATTTTATTTTTTTTAAATCACATTAACCACATCTTATTTTCCTGTTGAGTGATGGCCACAACCACTTAGCAGTCATCTAGCTGACTCATTACACATCCCTAGGTTTAATTTGTATTAACAAAGGGAATAAAACTCATTCCAGATCGGTAGAGAGCTGAAATGACACTGGATAGTATAAATCCAGAGAGACATCATGACATTTTGCAAGGTAAAAAATATTTAATTTAGCTTCTCTTAGTATACCTGCATACAAGCACTTTGCCAGCCTGTGCAGAGGACTGCTTTGATGGCTTGAATCAAATTATCAGCATAGAAGTGCTTGTGCTACCGTTCAACCCAGCAAAAACCCATTGAAAACATACTGAAGATGACTTTGCCAAATTTCTAAACAATGTTAAAATGTGACCTCTAATCAACAGAAAATGTTCAGGAGGATAAACATGAATTCAAGTCCAGCAATAGACTGAAACAAATTACTTTTGATCTTTTACCTTTCAACCAACTTTAGACTTAAAGGGTTCTCTTTTTAAAGATCATGACTGGCGTTTAGTCCACATTTAGTCAAAAAAGCAATATCCATGGACAACTTAGGCTGGGTGAGATAAATCCACAGTAGTTATAAATGCAAAGCCTGTCAGTAACAACTCAACTCAATAACAATTAGTGAAAGATAGCATTGAATTGCAGTGACAATGAAAAGATTTTCAGGAGTATTATCATCTGTAAAAATGTTTTGTTGTTGTTTTTTCCCTTTTTAAA